GAGAATCGGCTCAGAGGGGAGGTGTTTGGGCTGTGAAAGTGCAAAGGTGCTGGAATGAAAAAGCTAGCTGGCCCTAACATGTGACAGCCGTCTGAAGGGACCCTGCAGGGCCACAGACAGAGAAGCAGAGACAGTGATGGCGAGTTAAATGCATTTTGCAATGGAAACACACAGCACAACAGGAGTCAGGGCTTAAACCCACAGCTCGAGTAGCTGCACCTAAGACACGTGTACTGTATAACACCAAAACACTTGTTACACTTCACTGAGTAAGAATATAAACAGCACACTAAAAATCTGAGATTTCACTACAAATAATCATTAATATCTGATGGAAATTACTGATATAGTCCATTTAAAAAAAAAAACACTGGTTCTTTTTTTATTTTGCTATTCCTATGGTTGAATGCCTTATTCTTGGTTGAAAGACTTTCTAAGTTGTTGTCTAATTTCCTACACTTTGCCACATTATTTCTGAATTAGAGAGCTTTTCATACACGTTTTCCACTGAATGTCAGAGCTGGGGACCATTGGTGAGCAAATCACAGTTTGCCTTACGATTGTTGATAAAAAAAAAAAACTGGTTTTGCATCTTTATCCCATCATTAGCTGCTACTGATACTATATCGAATATCAGAGTTATGTAGGTACATAACTTACTGTAAAAAAAAGTACAGTACATTTGTACCGTAAAAATAATGAAGCAACAATTGAAGGTTTACTGGTTTACAGTAAAAAAAAACATATAACAACATTTAATAACATACTGTAAGATGTAGCTTTAAACCCTATGTACATAACCAACCCTCTACATTGCGAGTAAATCACTCGCATATTCGACTAAATCTTCACTCTGGGCGACTAAATGATGTCTAATATTAGATAAATTCTCAGATTTTACTCGCCAGTGTGCGAGTTGGAGGCTGAGTATATGATTAGCACAGATATATTTTCACTCACAGAACACTCTGAGCGCTTCAGAGTTTCACTCTTCGTCAAGCGATCTGTGCTATTTTTCAGTTCATTTGAATGAATGTGCAGCGCACCTGTGTTTGTGTATTTGGCATAACGTAAACTCTAGTGTGAAGGCGCACGACTCGCCGTCGCTTTCTCTCACACGCGCAAAGAGCGAGAGCGAGCGAGAGTCTTACATAACATGCAGAATTGAAGCGCTACATGTACACGATATACTTTGCTGTATTTTCCTGTAAAAAAAGAGTTCCTTTGGAATTCTTCAGCTTTTAAGAACAGCCGGGTTTTCCTGTAGTGGGCGGAACTACTGCGCAAACGACAATCTCATTGGCTGGTGCTCACCTATTATCGTCCCTGTTTTGATTTCAGCGAATCAGTTCGAGCAAACGCACACAACCTGATTAATATTCATGAATCCAGTAGCTCATTAATCCATGGTGCGTTTTATATTGTTCTTATTAGTAGAATTCGTAT